GTCTTGTCTCGGTCATTAAGGACTCTGGATTTTATTTCAAGACCATTCAAAAACATAACTTTGGGAATATCAATAAATTGCTCATGCATTGTCATATTTATTTGTTAATATCCTAACTTTGATTGGATGTAAAACGTACTGCTTCAAATGCAACCAATAACCCTAACGCCGATTGCGATGCTTACGTTGATTTCCGCTCTTAGTGTTTATATGTGGGTGTTTTAATGGGAATGTGAACCTTTCAGATCAATTTGAGAAGTACCTATAATCTCGATCCACATTTTATTGTGTGTCATGTAATGTGGGGAACTGGACTTGGTCTTGACTCGGTCTTGTTCGTTCTTGGTCTCGATTTGGTCTCAGCCCCTAAAAGTCTTGGTCTTGTCTCAGTCTCGATAACCTTTGGTCTTGGTCTTGACTTGGTCTCAGTTTGGCCGGTCTTGACTACAACACTACTGTCACTACCACATTTTGCCTCTCTTGTGGTGAAAGGTGATATTGTGAACTAACTCATGAGAAGCTGCATGTGCTATGCATTTATTCAACCTATTTTTTTGCCTCTTATTAATGACTGATATTCTTCTTCTCTGTGACTGGAAACTGAATATTGGCCACTTGATGTGACAGAGCAGTAAAGTGTGATTTATGTTTCAAAGGTCTAATTGGCAGCATTTCCTTCGTCTCCAGGCTGCACTACTCAGATTTTTGACATATCTGAAAACCTTGGGAGATATATACTTGGCCTTAAACGATGCTGGCTGGTCTCAGATAATTTATCTCTGTCTTGAGCTACCACTGAATAAAGAGCAGACCTGCTTCTGTGGGTAACTGTATTTCTCTTTGGAAATATCGATTTACGTAGTTCAGCAGAACAAAATTTTTTACAGAGAAAAAAAACAATAAAAGGGTTATAACTGTAGGTAGTTCATGAACAGCTCATATAACTTTACACCAAACCACATTTTTTCCAGCATTTTATCATAAAACCCAAATATATTATGCTATAAAATGGTACGTACTGTAATATGATACAGGAATCATTTCCTCAGGACTTTTTGATAAAGTAAATGTTTTACAGACATTCCTCAGAAAGATTTGTAAAAGCTTTGGTGATCCCTTAACTTTACATCTGGCACCATCATCAGGTAAAACAATTGGTTTATGAGCTAATACACAATATGAGCAACGCCCAACAGCCTTAGCTGTACTTTGTGTTTCCTGTGTTTCCAATAACATGGTAAAAAAATACCTGCCAAACAACAGCATGCTAGCAATACCATTGTGAGCACGTTAGCACGGTGACAACAGCATTTCGCTCCACACGCTGCTGTCCCTAAGTGCAGTCTCACAGAGCTGCTAGTATGGCTGTAATCTTAGTCTTGTGAAAATGAAAGTATAAAAAACTGCTAAATGTGTCACGTGATAGAAAGTTCTGCAATAAAGTTGCAGCGTTGTAAAATCCATTATTTGCATTTTAAATAACAGTACTCCACTAACATTAAATTGATTTAAAATTGACATTTGGTTCTTTTTCACAAAATTTAACTTACTTAAACACTTACAATTTATTGTTTTCCATACACACTCACTAATAACAAATGACAATTCCCACCCGAGTGACCTCCTGTAAACAGCATCAGTGGTTAATCTGAATTATTCACAGTTCTGTCATTGCTCTGTTATGCAAACATACAGCACATGTCTGCTTCATAAATCTTCATGCAACGTCTGGTGTAGGGAGTTATCTCAGCACGGTGAGAAAACAAGCAAAGCCTTTTAGCCTGTTGAGGCAATATTGATTTGATTTGCTTCCTAAAATGGGAAATTTATAGATGCACGCCGTCTTCTCCAGAGAGTGATATTAGCTTCCCTCAGGAGGAAAGGATACTGTCTGAGCGGGGCGTGAAGAATTGGCTCCAGATTCAGCAGGAGTGTGGGCCCCTTTGTGAATGTATAACATGTTATTAAAGGAGAGAAAGTTGTTACAGGACTGTTTCTCTTGAAGGCAACCCAAAACTATCCAGTACTGTGGTTGCAGGAAGAAAATGTATTTCTCGCAGTGCACCGAGCACCAAGAAAGCTGATGACACTAAACCCTCGTCTCTGCCTTCCTCTCCCTTGTTTTCTGCTTCCCTCACTCAGTTGCTGCGTCAGCTACTCTCATTTTCACATACCCCACAGTTTCACTCTAGGAATAGTTTGTTCTATGTGTTCAAGCTGTGGGCTTTCTTCATGCTGTTTTTTCTCATGTTGTTATTTTGTTTTGATAACATATTTGGTGATAAGCTGCCATTGCGGTGTTTGAAATCAGTGTGATGTCAGCAACGTGAGGTCTCTCGCCTTGTATTTTACATTAATGAAGGTTTCACTAATACTAACTAGTAACTACCCAAATCATTTAAATGCATCCATTCCTGTTACTATGTGACAAATCTAGCTATACTTTCAACCATGCTTGACTCCCAAACAGCTACAACACTGCACTAAACTGGTATGGCCACATTACAGTAAGACAGAGGAGGACCTATTGATCTTTCTGTGGATGGTCATGAGCACAAGAATGTTCATGTTCAGTGGAAAATCTACCCTAAAACACTTTTAAATGTTTAATTAAAATGAATTCTTGACCATGGAAACAGTAGTTACTAAAACAAACTCACCACAATCTCTGTTTTATAATTGTTGCAATATAGTATTATAGCACAGGGAGGAAAAACTATTTAATTTCATTATGAAAGTTCATATTTTGGGGGATTTCCTGCAGTATATGGTCATGGAGATTTAAGCAGACCAGATGTAATATTGACAATTTTGATATAGCAATTGTATACAGTATATGTTAGTGAAAATCAGCAATTTTATACTTCTAATCCCCTACATTTCAGAGAGAAATACTGTAATTAAAGGCTCTGCACAACAACTCAGATGTGTTCAATCACTCTGATTACACCTCTTGTCAGGTGGCATTATTATTATTATTATTTTTAACATCAAGTTAAGTCCTGCCCTACATTGCAGTGATTGGCTAGTGCTTGCTACTTGACACGTCCTTGTGATTGGACGCTAGCTGTGAGCGTGGGATGATAGAGACCCTAGGTGCTCCTTGCCTGTGACTGCATTTATTTTCTACTTAGTCTTTATTACATAACAGGAAATATCTGGTAATTTACCACAGTTACACTAATACTTCTGAGGGACTTGTGTTAAGATAATATAGCATAGACCTCCCTAGACAGCATAACCAATGTTAATTTTGTTTTTCTTAATGACAACATGTGGTTCAAGATTGAATGTATGTTCATTGAGTTTTGAATATGAATGAATGATTGCAAATGTTATATGAACCAATACAATTGAGTTACATCCCCTTTTAAAGGATTATTTGAAGAATTTAAAATATTTATATTTGTAGGCTATTATTATTACATCATTGTCAAATCAGTAGTGTCACTGGCGTTGCTAGCTGGACCTGCAAAAGTTCAACAGAAAAACCTGTGGCGCGATCACAAGGAGGCGTCAAAGTAACAAGCTAGCCAATCACAGCATAGTAGGGCGAAATAACACAGATTAACACAGTCACCACGCTCTGTATTCCAATAAGAATAGTTGTCCCACACTGACAGGTACAACAAAACTAAATAAAGGGTGATTGAGATGTCAATGAAGCACAGTCTGTACACCCACTGTCCCATTAAGAAGTCTATTTAGGTAGCATGAGCAAAAACACCTTAGTAGGAGCTCTAAGATTTCATACACATCAATACATCAGAAGTAACAAATCAATTATATGTAAAAATATGGCACCAACAAGCTCCACTCTGGACAATGAGCGCTTTTGCTTTTGATACTTTAAGGACATATTTCTGATAATACTTATGTATTACATATTTTTACTTATGTGACATTTCGAATAAAGTAGTTTTATTTGTAATGGAGTATTTTTGCACTCATCCACAACAGCATCTAATATCAAGAATTATTTAACTCAACTCTTCGGAGAACATTATGTACATACATTCGTGTGCTGCAGCCTCTTTTGCATCCACGTTGCTTGAAGTCCAGTGGAAAGTTTCCACAGTCAGTGATGGTTTGGGGTGCCATGTCATCTGCTGGTGTTGGTCCACTGTGTTTTCTGAGCTCCAAGGTCAACGCAGCCGTCTACCAGGAAGTTTTAGAGCACTTCATGCTTCCTGCTGCTGACCAACTTTATGGAGATGCAGATTTCATTTTCCAACAGGACTTGGCACCTGCACACAGTGCCAAAGCTACCAGTACCTGGTTTAAGGACCATGGTATCCCTGTTCTTAATTGGCCAGCAAACTCGCCTGACCTTAACCCTATAGAAAATCTATGGGGTATCTGGAAGAGGAAGATGCGATACGCCAGACCCAACAACGCAGAAGAGCTGAAGGCCACTATCAGAGAAACCTGGGCTCTCATAACACCTGAGCAGTGCTACAGACTGATCGACTCCATGCCACGCAGCATTGCTGCAGTAATTCAGGCAAAAGGAGCCCCAACTAAGTACTGAGTGCTGTACATGCTCATACTTTTCATGTTCATACTTTTCAGTTGGCCAACATTTCTAAAAATCCTTTTTTTGTATTGGTCTTAAGTAATATTCTAATTTTCAAGGATACTGAATTTGGGATTTGTCTGTGTGTAATGAATGAATATAATGTCCAAGTTTCACTTTTTGAATGGAATTACTGAAATAAATCAACTTTTTGATGATATTCTAATTATATGACCAGCACCTGTATATTGTCTTCTTTCTGTGCTGGGAAATTATCACATGTATGTAAGCACATGTACACTGGCAATCTTGTGTAAATTACAGTGGCCAAATCTGTCTCACTCACATTTGATAAACCTCACGTTTTTCCATACGTGAACAGTTTAGTGCGCCTGCTGACCAACTGATGCATCTGTGGAACAGGACTTTTTTCCCAGCCACAATCAGCAGTGGACGCTGATAACAAAGTTCCACAGGTTCAGTGTAATCTGCGTTTGAGTCGACAGACAGACTGAGGAGGTATAAGAGAGCCGACCTGAGCTGAGAGAGTGTATCTACAGATACAGGACACCATGATGAAGACACTGGTCCTACTGCTCATTCACTTAGCATATGGTGAGTAGCATTAGCTTAGCTGGAGCTAACTAAACAACAAAGTGGCACAGTTGTTTAAAAAAAAGATGTCAGACATTAAAATTAAGCACTAAATTAATTTAAGTTATCCAATATTGTGTGTTTGTAGTTTTTGGATGTGGTACACCTGCTGTCAAGCCTTATACCAATAGGGTGGTGAATGGAGAGGATGCTCGCCCCCACAGCTGGCCTTGGCAGGTATTTTCATCTCAATGTGAAATGTATGTCTTTTGTAGAACTGGCTTCTAATTCTTATCCTTTTTTCCTCAGATCTCCCTGCAGGTGAAGCACGGCAGCCGTTTCCATCACACGTGTGGAGGGACTCTGATTGGACCTCGTTGGGTGCTGACTGCTGGACACTGCATCTGGTGACTAATAATAAGACAAGAAAGCTACTATGTGATACCTGGGATAAAAAGTGGGAGCTACAGGGCAGAGGGCAAGGATTTATTGAAGCAATGTGATGCAAATGACAAAGGCAGAAATATGCTGTATGAAGGAAATAATACAGGGAAATGTAATCTGAAATGATAGAAACTACAGTGTCTTACAGGCCAGGAGATGTGTACCGTGTTGTCTTGGGAGAGCATAACATGAACCAGGAAGAGGGCACTGAACAGATCAGAGAGGTTCTGCGTATCGTTGTCCATCCCAAGTGGGACATCAACTTTGTGGCTCAAGGGTGAGTTGATTAAAAAGACTATTTGAAAAATAATTTCTCCATTGCAAATCAATAAATAACCTTGTGTTTGTATCATTAGTGGCATCCTTAAGAAGCATAAATAATATTGTTTGTTAATTTACACCACGCAAAAAATCTACAATATGAAGTCGACGTAAAAGCAAATAATAAACTAATGTAACCAACTGACCCATTTAGGATGTACTGTAAGAAATTTAACAAATTCATATAATCATTAAAGAGAATAAAAACAATCAGAATGAATGACCTTAGCTGGTTTAAAAAGTACTTTTCTCAATCAGTGAAAATCTGTCTATAATGATTTTCTCACAGCAATGATCTTGCCCTGCTGAAACTGGATAAGAGCCCCATTATGAATGACAGCGTTGGCGTGGCTTGTCTTCCTCAGGCCGGAGAGATCCCTACCCAGGGGACACAGTGTTACATCTCTGGCTGGGGCAACCTTTACAGTAATGTCATTGTGTCCTCAACTGTCATCCTGCCTTTGCGCTGATCACTGCAGAAAATGAATGGGTGATTTAGCCTCAGACAGACGCAAATGTTGCTTCGAACTGGTTGAAATGAACAATTGCACAATCTCTGCCATTGTTAGGCAGTAATGTGTTACTGAGTAATGGGATTACTTTTTCAGAATATATAATCCAATTTGAAATTTTATAATTACATTACAGTTACAAATCCCTCTAACACTCTGTTACTTTGACATTTTAAAGACAGCTTTGATGGACAGACTGGTCCGGGACCAGACCCAGTTTGTGCCTCTAATGTATTAGCATACATTCAGGTCACAGAGGCAACCATCAGTTTGACCATTGATGTTTTAGAAAAAATTATTTAAAAAGCTTAGGAAACAGATAAGCTTCAATGCTAAATACAATTTTGCGGTACTTGTACTTTACTTGAGCATTTCAATTTTAGATTATTTATACTTAAACTCCACATTTCAGAGGGATATGTCCTACTCTTTACTCCACAACATGTATTTGATAAAATGAGTTACTGGTTGATATGTACAGTAATCTATCAATGATTATAATCCAGTAATATAACATACATTATTCTGAAATGGGCCATTCTGCATACTAACATACTTCAATAACATTTTGAATGCATTTTACTTACAACAGAGTATCTGAACACTGTGGTATTTACATCGGAGTACTTCTTTCACCACTGCAAATGATGCAGCTTGTAGGTGTGGAGTTGTTAAGGCACCTCTGACGGAGCTGGGCTGAGTAATAACAGTAATACAACTAATTAGTTTTGCTGCTAATATTTTTAGTAAAGCAATGTAGTTAATTTGTAAATAAGTAATATGAGTGATTGGTTACAGGTTTCAAGTAACTTGTCCAACACTGCCCTCTGCTTTGTATAGATAAGACGTATTTATCTGTTACTGATCTGCTCTGTCCTCCCTATGTCTCAGCACATGGCCCTATGCCTGATAAGCTGCAGCAGGCCTTGCTGCCTGTGGTGGAGCACAGTGTGTGCAGTCGCAGTGACTGGTGGGGCATCAACGTCAAGAGCACGATGATCTGTGCAGGAGGAGACGTCGTATCTGGTTGCAATGTGTGTGAGGCAACAAAAAAAAGCAACTTGTACCTGTCAGAACTGAACTACCTGCCATGAACAAGGTCAGCGACTTTATACTGTGGTTCTGTTTTTCTGTCAGGGAGACTCTGGAGGTCCTCTAAACTGTTTGGGTCAGGATGGTAGGTGGTACGTCCAGGGTGTAACCAGCTTTGTTTCCTCTCGTGTCTGCAATGAAGTTAAGAAACCCACCGTCTTCACCCGCACCTCTGCCTTCACCGAGTGGCTCAGTGAAGTAAGTTATCAATCTATTTGATCACATTCATTTGATCACATTTGATCCGCACTCTAACATGACTGATAAATAAAACATTTCATGTATCAATAAATCATGCTTTCTCTTCAGGTCATGCTGCGTTACTGAGGTTCACCTGGACACCAACTGATCAACTCCAAAAAAATGATGCGGTCCCAAATCCCAATATTTTCTCTGTTCGTTTCAAATCAGGGTCAGGCACGGAACATTATGTCTGTCATCACTGAAAAACATGAGAAAATAAAAAGAGAGAATATATTGAAATAGTTTTCATACAGTACAATTAAGGTCTGTCAATTCTACAACTACTACTAAGTGTTTATAACAAAGCATCACAACAGCAAGAACCAAACACAATCTGCATATTTCATGTCTTAAAAACAGAGTGAAGAAAGTGTAGATTCACCCACTCTGTGAAAATGCATAGAGCAACTTCATATTTCATCCCCCCACACCCTCATTTTGTGATAAGAAGAATGAGGAATGGCTGCCCATCAGAGTGTGTGGAGGACTTATGAATCAGTGTTTCCTATTAATCATCACCAAGGTCGGCCAGGTGTCGGAGCCGATGGACACACTGTCTGATACGCCCAGGTGGGAGCTGAGCTGGAGAGCAGATAAACAGCAGCAATAGGTTACCTTGATGCACGACCTGCTGCTGCGTCAGATACCAGTTGCATTTTAAGACACTTTTGACAAATATACATCCCATTTTTGACAACAGACTTTGCTATATATAGCATGATAGAATGTGATAATACACAAGGTACATACATTAACACATTCACAACTTGTTTGAATCTATCATGTTTGAAAGGCTTTACATTTACATTTCGAGTGATCAATGAAACAAAAGCAGACATATCACAATGTACTCATCAGATCTTTTCCTTATGTAAAAGCAGCAATACCACAGTGTAGAAATAAAAAAGTATCAGATATCAAAATATGCTTATTAATATAATACCATGTTCGTCTCCTTAATGTTGCAGCTTGTAAAGGTAGGGCTAATATTAATTACATTATGTACTGTTGCTTGTGTTTTTCCCCCCAGGGCTCAATAAATGTATTTGTTAATTATATTTTGTATTATTAATCTGGATCAGCAAAGTAACTAAAGTTATGGAATACATGGAGTGGAGTAAAAAGTACAGTAAATGTAGTGAAATTAGAAGACAATTGTACTTAAGTATAGTAAATGAGTAAATTAACTCACTGGTTTTATTTTTATTTTATATTTCTATCATCCAAACTGTTTCCAGCAATTCAGTCAAAGTCATTCATTCTTGATTTATCACTTTAACCATATATGACATTGCTATGAGACAGAACTTCTATCAAACTTTGATAGTGTCTGATCAAACAAAACATCAAGAGATTAAGCACTGCGCTGACAAGACGAAGGACTCAGCACAGCCAGAAGGACTTTTAAATGAGCTGTTAAAGTTAAAATAGATGTTGATTTCAAAACAAACTGTTAATGGCTTCACTCCCCACTGCATTAACAATGCAGTAGCTCCAACGGATCAGTGCTTGAATGAATAAGTCTTTGAGAGCCTATTTTCTTCTTACATTCTACATTACATGTTCAAATACTGTGTTTACTGTGGGAAACCAAACAATAAGACTGCTCTTTTGAGTGAAGTTCTGCTTTGAACCATGACATGAACACAAACCCTTTCACATTTATCTATCCCCATCTGCTGGCACATGTGGGGAACCTGCTCACTGCTGACAGCATCACAGCAGCTCCATCCAGTGGACAGAAATGAAGCTAGGAAGACCAAACTCATAAGACATACAGTATAACATCACATATCACTTAATAAAAAAACTGTTCCTCTTAATAGTTTCTAACAGGAGTGTATTTCTTTTTTTAAAACCCCATTTGTCCTCCTCGAGTTCAGATACAGTTTATTTTATTCAATAAAATCTTTTTGAATATTGTCCTCCAACTGTCCCACCACCAAAGGCCAGATGAGAGAAGAGGAGATGTTAAAAATATTGATGCTCATCTGAATTGCCTTAAATTATTTACTCACAGCAAGCATCTTAACAAGCAGCAAGAAGGGGTGCAGCGAGTGCTTCAGGAACTGTTTGGCTTAAAGGCTACATCCAGTGTGTCTTGTCTTCTTGCTATAGAGCCATAGACTGTATATAAAAATGGACTTAGTATCCGTGACGTCACCCGTTGGTTTCTGAAGAGCAGTTTTGAAAAGTGTTGTGTCGTGTCGTTCAAAGAACATTTCGTTCATTTGACCTAATCTTGTATGTGACTCAGGAGGAACGGGTTGTTTCAGCGAGTAATTTGTTCATTTTCAGGCATGCGTGAATAGTCTAGGACTCTTAACGTTCACTCGTTACAAAGCAGCTGAATGGTCTCCGTCAGCACAGGAAACAGAATTGATTAGTTCAGGACTCATGGGAAGTTCCATTTGACATGGGAAGTCGGAATTTCCGAGTTCCCAGTTGGAGTCAGGAGAACCGCACTACCCCGACTTCGTGATCCAAGATGGCTGTCGGGGTATCAACGGTTAGTGAGAGCTGTAGTTTATACTGTTTATTAGCACTTCTGTGTACTTGTGACTCATATAAATGTTCGTACACAAAGTTCTGTCCAACAGCTGTCTGTGGACGTGTTGCTACAGTGTTTAGTGTGAGTAAATACCGCACAATGCGTTTTTTAAAATCAACCGTCATATCAATAGCTAACCTGGCTAGTTGTAAACAAACAGCTGGCCGAGCGAGGTTTTCCGACTTGTTAACTGGAACACAATCAACTCGAGTGTGACGTTATTCCCAGCTCCAACCTCCGACTTCCGAGGTAAATGGAACGCAGCATCATAACTGTGGGTCTCTGGGTTTGAGTCGTTCATTTGTCACGTGACAGCTCGGCTACAGGGCTGTGATAAGCAGGCAGCACAGGAAACAGAATTGATTAGTTCAGGACTCATAACTGTGGGTCTCTCGGCTACTGTGGAGCAGGAATGAACTAATCAGCGCTCACATGGGTCCCCAGAATCTGTCTTCACTCAGCAGGCTGACTTACTGCCAGCACCGGGGAATGAGAGGCAAGTCTGTTGTCTGGTAACAGTTACTGGACTGACATATATCTAATATCTATTTTGATAATTTTGTGACATTTAATAAAGCATAACGTTATTACAGCGCAGTTATGTTGTGCTAAGTTATAGTTTTAACACAGCCGCACCGTAACTTTAGTCCTGCTAGTGTTTATAGCCAACAGCTGATGAGAGTTGTTCTGGGTCCACTTCAGAGCCCTGACAGAGTTCTGCCGGGAGCTGAATTACCACAGAGGTCGTCTCCTCTCCAAAACAAACGGACAAACAAACACAGCCGCATAGCAACGTTAGCGTTAGCCCTGTGGTTTGTTTACAGCTAACAGCTGATCCATTCCGCCAGAGAACGCAACTTAACATTTACTTTTTATTTATCAACAGAGCAGTGCTGTTGTTTCACCACTCCTCACTGGTGAACAACCTGCTGAGATTATTATTAAATTTGTTTGTGGTGTTTGTTTTATTCATCTAGTGTGTCAAGCTTATTACTTCAATATATTCCCTGATTAGACATGGAAAATGAGAACTGTCTAAGTTTTCCTTTTCTATCAAGCAGCAAAAAAGTTGAGGTGGTTGAGTTAATTTGGCTTGCTTGATATTGCACTGTTCTGCGATGTGACTATTGCGCAAGAGCACACTGACGATGCTCTGGTGACATATTGTGCAGCCCTAGCCTAAATAGCCTAATATTGCTGTTTGACATAACTTCTGACTACACCAACTTCTGTGCATGTGGTTCTCTCGCACAAACCAGGTAAAGCAGCAGTGAACACAGTTCATTAACAAGCCCAAAAGCGGCTCTCCTGCTGCCGTGATAATGGATAGTAGAAAAGACGAGTTCTGTGTCTTTTTGGCGACTTTATAAAACGTACTGCTGATGGAGAAAGTTGAGTAGACGGGCGGGGGAGGGAGACAGAGAGAGGCTCGGCAAGCTGGTGATTTTAACTGAGGTGTAGGCCTCTTGTGTGTCTGAGTGCGGGGAGAAGAGAATTCCAAGGAAGATGTGAAGCATATTTAAAAATTATAATAATATTGTTCGTGGTGATTAAAACCTGCTTTCATGTGGTATTACGTTAAAAGGTAAAAAAAAAGAATTCTGGGGGGCGGGGCTTTACAATCATGATGCCTGCGACCATCGACCATCTGTCAGCCATAGACATGGACGAAGGCACCGTCTATCGGCCCAACCCTAGTACACCCCTAAGTGAAAATGTCCAAATTGGGCCCAATTAACAATTTTCCCTCCGTGGTGTCATGTGACTCGTTAGTTTTAAAAGGTCTCAGGTGTGAATGGGGACCAAGTGTTTAATTTGGGCTGCGTACAAAAAGTCTTTTTGCTCAGGAAGGTTCCTAACTGAGTGAAGTGACCCAGAAGTATTTCAGTGGCAGCCATGTTAAGCGCTGGTCGAATTCTCTTAAAGCTACGGAAAGGTGCTTCAATGCTTCCTTTCTTATCTCCTTTAGCATACTGGACTATCATTTATGAAAGGAAAGAAGATAATGCCATCCCACAAATCCTCGCGGCAGCAACATTTAAAGCATTCTCAAACTAAAACAATAAAATCCATTGACCACATTTAGCAAAATCCCTGCAATACAGACGCACATTATGACACTTGAATCAGACTCTCACAATTTCGTTCCTGATTTTGGCATTGCTGTAATCTAATGCTGTTTCAACACCATTTTATGTTTCAGATTGTTTAAATATGCCATAAAGTGTTGTATTTGAAATTTTTACAATAAAAGAAAAGAAATCACTGACCATGACGGATAAAGGACATCAATCACTATATAAGTTACCACTGGTTAAGCCTTTTCTCTCTAACGCCATAACTTGCTAATATGCGTAGTCTATGTCTTGAACTGTCAACAATAACTGAGACCCATGTAAGCTGTTACTAGTCTTGTAAAATGACCAAAGTGAGGATAATGTTGCAGCGTGTAGGCTCACGTTAAATGCTGAGTTTTCATTAGTTATTTTTGCCCAATGTATTGCCAGCCTTCAGCAACATCATTAATTAATTTTACTCCAGTCACAGATGCTGTCACCCTTGCCTTAATAAAGGCAATGATCAAGCTACAGTAAATGTAATGTAATGTGGCGGCCCGCCACATTATTGAAAAAAAAAATGGTTCTTCTACATAAAGATGGGCCAAGACCATACAGCGGTTCAACGGGATAGGTTCCACTCAGAACAGGCCTCGCCATGGTCAACCAAAGAAGTTGACTGTACATGCTCAGCGTCATATCCAGAGGTTGTCTTTTGGGTTGGGAAATAGGTGTACGAGTGCTGCCAGCAGAGGTTAAAGGGAAGGGGGGTCAGCATGTCAGTGCTCAGACTATACGCTGCACACTGCATCAAATTGGTCTGCATGGCTGTTGGCTTCTAAAGATGATGCACAAAAAAGCCCACAAACATTTGCTGAAGACAAGTAGACAGGGGATATGGATTACTGGAACCATGTCCTGATGACATGATAAACTTATTTGGTTCAGATGGTGTCAAGCGTGTGTGGCAGCAAACAGGTGAGGAGTACAAAGACAGGCGTGTCTTGCCTACAGTCAAGCATGGTGGTGGGAATGTCATGTTCTGGGGCTGCATGAGTGCTGCCGGCACTGAGGAGCTACAGTTCATTGAGGGAACCATTAATGCCAACATGTACTGTGACATACTGAAGCAGAGCATGATCCTCCCTTCGGAGACCAGTATTCCAAAATGACCCCAAACACACCTCCAAGATGACCACTGCCTCGCTAAAGAAGCTGAGGGTAAAGGTGATGGACTGGCCAAGCATGTCTCCAGACCTAAACCAGCATCAAATGGAAGGCAGAGATGGGGACTCGAGTTAGAGACTCAGACTCGAGTGTGACTTAAGTCGCACACACAATGACTTGAGACTCGTCCTCAAAAGACTTCAGACTCGACTCGGACTCGAAGTGCGGGACTCGTGAACAATGTTTATTTTTTAGGAAACTTCTGATGAGCTTGGTGTTATTC